TGCATAGGGTTTTGAAAATTATAGTAAAAACTGAATTATAATGAACAAGGTCATTCATGGTGAGCCTGTCGAAGCATAGTGACCGCCACCCTTCGACAGGCTCAGGGCGAGCGGTGCTCCTTTTTATTTCCGACTAAATTTTAATTTCCGATTAACTACAGAAAGTAGCCAAAAGACGGTTTAGAACCAGTTTAGGCTATATTGAAGCCCATAAGTCCGCCCTTGGGCTTCTTGCCCTCTCAAAGGACCTGCAATCGCTTCAGCGGATTGGTTAAACACGCTACGATATCGAGTATTGCCGATATTATAGACCCCAAATGCTAAATCGCCTTTACCCAGTTTGACTTGCCCTAATAAATCCAGTGTGGCATAGCCTGTGATTTTCGCTTCACGAGATTTGCTAATATTCTTATCCACCGCCGCAACGAGCATATCGTTATAAGCCTCATCTGTACCGCCAATTGCACTACCTTGCAAACGAAGACTACTACCTTGTGGGAAGGTATATTGTGCGTACGCTGTTGCTTTGAGTGGGGTTACTCGAAATGCCCCCAAATCACGCCAAGTACCTGCCGCATCTTTATATTCGCCTTTGCCATAAGCAAGACTAGAGCCTGCTGACCACTCTTGATTAAATCGGTGATTGATACTGGCTTCTGCCCCATAGATTCTCTCATCGGTATCAGCAGCGACAACATTAAAGTCTTTGGTAAACTGCACTACTTTATCTGAGGTATTATAAAACCCCACCACTTTGGCTTTGGTTTTGTCAAAATCACCCTGCCAACCTAACTCATAATTATTGACTGTAATCGGTGCAACCGTATCAGAATTGACCTTAAAGCCGACATTCACATCTCGTAGTACTCGCTGAATATCAGGTAGATTAAAGCCTTGGGAAAAGTTGGCAAAAATTTTCTGTTGGGGTGCGATGTTATAACTTGTCCCAAGATTAAATAAGGTTTTGTTATGTTTGGTTTCACCTGCAGGCACACTACCTGCTAGATAAGGCAACTTGAACTGAGCCAATAAATCTTGTAATTGGGCTTCGTTACGAGTGGTAAAGGCATCCGTCTTACTGGTGATGTTTTGGTGGCGAACACCGCCACTCACATGCCATTTATCTGTGACATCAGCATCTAAATTAACAAATGCCCCTACCTTATCAATGGTGCTGTTTGGGCCTGCGGTGTAGCGTGTATTATTTGGCTGAATCTTCAGCCCATTACTGTCAATAAAGGTTTTAAGGTCATTACCATCGTAATGCTGTTTGTCTGTTTCTCGCTCAAAGTCAGCACCATAGCTCCATAACAGCTTTTTATCTTGCCATGTACTGGGAGTTTGCATGGCGGCACGCAGTCCCATCACATTGATATCGGCTGTTGATTGCAAGATACTGTAGGCACTGTTTGCCAGTTTCTTTTTATATTTGTCTTTGGTTGCGTTATCAACCGCCAAACTGTCAATCAAGGGATAGGCAGGTTTGATCGATATGGGGGCAGGTGTCGGATAATAGCGTCCGTCTTCTTGACGATAATAACCTGTCACGTTCAGATTAGAGCCTTTGATATCACTGTTATTGTAGTTAAGGCTCACGGTGGATTTTTTGGTAAAGGGTTGATTGTCTAATTGCAACCCTTTGATGGCTTGCATTGATGGTGTATCGCCTTTGAGTAGCACACCTAACCCTTTGCCATAATCAGGGGCATAGTCGGTATCTTGTTGGTCTTTATAGTAAGTAGCCGCCAAATTGATGTTTTGTGTGGGTGTGGCTTGATAGTTGAGATTGGTGTTGACGCTCAAACTATCAGTATCTTGTAAATCCGTTTGCCAAACTTCTGGGGCAATGCGTTTATTGTCACTATCAAAGCGTCCACCCCTTGATTCATAATCCACATCTACTCGGGCGTTAAGCTTGTCATTACCAAAAGTCACTGTCTGCCCAGCACTATAACCCAACGCCTCTTTGTTAAAATTATTATTGGTCGATATGCCAATACGACTTTCACCATGTAGCCCTTGTTGGTAGCTAGATTTGGTCACTAGATTAATCAGTCCACCTGTCGCTCCAGACCCATAGATACTGGTTGCTCCTGATAAAACTTCGATACGCTCTAACTGCTTAGGGTTGATGCTATTGATTTGGCGTGAAATATCTCGAGAGCCTGTCAATGGTACGCCATTGATAAGGTATTGGACAGGTCTGCCGTGCATGGTCATCCCAAAGTTACTCGCCGTACCACTGCCTGTACCTAAGCTTGGCACAAGTTGTCCTAAAACATCAATGACGGTACGACCTGCTACTGCTTGTTGGGAAATTTGTTTTTCGCTAATGACTTGGGTGACTTCAGGCATTTCACTGATTTTTTGTGCCAATACCGTGCCTGATTTGATTCCGGCGTAGAGTGTCAA